CATGACCTTCCCTTGGTGAATCCATGCTGGCTGTTCCTGATCACTTTCCTCTCATGCAAGTGCTTCAGGATTGATTCTTTGAGGACCTGCTCCATGATTTTTCCAGGGACTGAAGTGAGGCTGACTGGCCTGTAGTTCCCAGGATCCTCCTTCTTCCCTTTTTTAAAGATTGGCACTACATTAGCCTTTTTCCAGTCATCCGGGACTTCCCCGGTTCGCCACGAGTTTTCAAAGATAATGGCCAATGGCTCTGCAGTCACAGCCTCCAGTTCCTTCAGCACTATCGGATGCAACTCGTCCGGCCCCATGGACTTGTGCACGTCCAGCTTTTCTAAATAGTCCCTAACCACCTCTTTCTCCACAGAGGGCTGGCCATCTCTTCCCCATTTTGTGATGCCCAGCGTAGCAGTCTGGGAGCTGGCCTTGTTAGTGAAAACAGAGGCAAAAAAAGCATTGAGTACATTAGCTTTTTCCACATCCTCTGGCACTAGTTTGCCTCCCTCATTCAGTAAGGGGCCCACACATTCCTTGGCTTTCTTCTTGTTGCCAACATACCTGAAGAAACCCTTCTTGTTACTCTTGACATCTCTGGCTAGCTGCAGCTCCAGGTGCGATTTGGCCCTCCTGATAACATTCCTACATGCCCGAGCAATATTTTTATACTCTTCCCTGGTCATATGTCCAACCTTCCACTTCTTGTAAGCTTCTTTTTTATGTTTAAGATCCGCTAAGATTTCACCATTAAGCCAAGCTGGTCGCCTGCCATATTTACTATTCTTTCGACTCATCGGGATGGTTTGTCCCTGTAACCTCAACAGGGATTCCTTGAAATACAGCCAGCTCTCCTGGACTCCTTTCCCCTTCAAGTTAGTCCCCCAGGGGATCCTGGCCATCCGTTCCCTGAGGGAGTCGAAGTCTGCTTTCCTTCCTGAAGTCCAGGGTCCGTATCGTGCTGCTTACCTTTCTTCCCTGTGTCAGGATCCTGAACTCAACCAACTCATGGTCACTGCCTCCCAGATTCCCATCCACTTTTGCTTCCCCCACTAATTCTACCCGGTTTGTGAGCAGCAGGTCAAGAAAAGCGCCCCCCCTAGTTGGCTCCTCTAGCACTTGCGCCAGGAAATTGTCCCCTACGCTTTCCAAAAACTTCCTGGATTGTCTATGCACCGCTGTATTGCTCTCCCAGCAGATATCAGGAAAATTAAAGTCACCCATGAGAATCAGGGCATGCGATCCAGTAGCTTCCGTGAGCTGCCGGAAGAAAGCCTCATCTACCTCATCCCCCTGGTCCGGTGGTCTATAGCAGACTCCCACCACTACATCACTCTTGTTGCACACACTTCTAAACTTAATCCAGAGACACTCAGGTTTTTCTGCAGTTTCGTACCGGAGCTCTGAGCAGTCATACTGCTCCCTTACATACAGTGCTACTCCCCCACCTTTTCTGCCCTGCCTGTCCTTCCTGAACAGTTTATAACCATCCATGACAGTACTCCAGTCATGTGAGTTATCCCACCAAGTCTCTGTTATTCCGATCACGTCATAGTTCTTTGACATCACCAGGACCTCCAGTTCTCCCTGCTTGTTTCCAAGGCTTTGTGCATTTGTATATAAGCACTTGAGATAACCTGTTGATCGCCCCTCATTCCCAGTATGAGGCAGGAGCCCTCCCCTCACAGACATTCCTGCCTGTGCTTCCTCCCGGTATCCCGCTTTCCCACTTACCTCAGGGCTTTGGTCTCCTTCCCCTGGTGAACCTAGTTTAAAGCCCTCCTCACTAGGTTAGCCAGCCTGCTCGCGAAGATGCTCTTCCCTCTCTTCGTTAAGTGGAGCCCGTCTCTGCCTAGCACTCCTTCTTGGAACACCATCCCATGGTCGAAGAATCCAAAGCCTTCTCTCCGACACCACCTGCGTAGCCATTCGTTGACTTCCACGATTCGACGCTCCCTACCTAGGCCTTTTCCTTTTCCTCCTTGCATTATATTCTTCAGTCCTGACCTGATGCAACCAACTGCTGTTTTAGTTGTTTTCACACCCCTTCCTCCCTTGCTCAGGGTGAACCTCATTCTTCATAGAATCATAGAATATCAGGGTTGGAAGGGACCTCAGGAGGTCATCTAGTCCCACCCCCTGCTCAGAGCAGGACCGATCCCCAACTAAATCATCCCATTCTTGGTGGCACCTTGTGCCATTCCAATATGGGGGCTCTTCTGAGCAAAGCATGTATACCAATTGTCTAGTGGTTCTACGTAATGTGAGCAAATGCTGGCTCAAGAACTTTGTTGGCATCTCATCTTAGTTATCTTCATTTCTGGCTCAAGGATTGTGAGGAGAGACTCCAGCAAAGGCACCTCTATTTCTGACTTTGTAGATTTCAGAGTAGCAGCCGTGTTAGTCTGTATTCGCAAAAAGAAAAGGAGGACTTGTGGCACCTTAGAGACTAACCAATTTATTTGAGCGTAAGCTTTCGTGAGCTACAGCTCACTTCATTGGATGCATAAAGTGGAAAATACAGTCAGGAGATTTATATACACACAAACCATGAAAAAATGGGTGTTTATCATACACATTGTAAGGAGAGTGATCACTTAAGATGAGCTATTACCAGCAGGAGAGTGGGGTGGGGGGAGAGAAAACCTTTTGAAGTGATAATCAAGGTGGGCCATTTCCAGCACATTTCCAGGAGTTAACAAGAATGTCTGAGGAACAGTAGAGACTGTCCAGTTTGACCAGTGCTGGCACATGATGGCATATATCACATTGGTAGATGTGCAGGTGAACGAGCCTCTGATAGTGTGGCTGATGTGATTAGGCCCTGTGACAGTGTCCCCTGAATAGATATGTGGGCACAGTTGGCAATGGGCTTTGTTGCAAGGATAGGTTCCTGGGTTAGTGGTTCTGTTGTGTGGTGTGTGGTTGCTGGTGAGTATTTGCTTCAGGTTGGAGGGCTGTCTGTGGGCAAGGACTGGCCTGTCTCCCAAGATCTGTGAGAGTGATGGGTCATCCTTCAGGATAGGTTGTAGATCCTTGATAATGCGTTGGAGTGGTTTTAGTGGATCTCTTGTGTGGACTGGTCCAGGCTGAGGTTGTTGGTGGGATGGAAATTGTTGAAAACATGGTGGAATTCCTCAAGGGCTTCTTTTCCATGGGTCCAGATGATAAAGATGTCATCAATATAGCGCAAGTACTCTACATGGAATTCCACCATGATTTCAACAATTTCCATCCCACCATCAACCTCAGCCTGGACCAGTCCACACAAGAGATCCACTTCCTGGACACTACAGTGCTAATAAGCGATGGTCACATAAACACCACCCTATACCGGAAACCTACTGACCGCTATTCCTACCTACATGCCTCCAGCTTTCATCCAGACCACACCACACGATCCATTGTCTACAGCCAAGCTCTATGATACAACCGCATTTGCTCCAACCCCTCAGACAGAGACAAAACCTACGAGATCTCTATCAAGCATTCTTACAACTACAATACCCACCTGCTGAAGTGAAGAAATGGATCGAGAGAGCCAGAAGAGTACCCAGAAGTCACCTACTACAGGAGAGGCCCAACAAAGAAAATAACAGAATGCCACTAGCCGTTACCTTCAGCCCCCAACTAAAACCTCTCCAACGCACTATTAAGGATCTACAACCTATCCTGAAGGACGACCCATCACTCTCACAGTTCTTGGGAGACGTTCTTGTTAACTCCTGGAAATGTGCTAGAAATGGCCCACCTTGATTATCACTTCAAAAGGTTTTCTCTCCCCCCACCCCACTCTCCTGCTGGTAATAGCTCATCTTAAGTGATCACTCTTGTTACAATGTGTATGATAAACACCCATTTTTTCATGGTCTGTGTGTATATAAATCTCTTGACTGTATTTTCCACTTTATGCATCCGATGAAGTGAGCTGTAGCTCACGAAAGCTTATGCTCAAATAAACTGGTTAGTCTCTAAGATGCCACAAGTACTCCTTTTCTTTTTTTGACTTTGTAGAAAATTTGAGCCCAGATACTGAGACTTGAAAGGCCCTAGAGGTCTGCATCAATCCATGTTAAATGGAGTCATGTCCTACTGGTACCATGTTAGATTCCAGTCACCCTTGGCTGCATGATGTTCGTCTCTAGAGATCTGCTTATCCTTGCACGTCAGCAAATATAATGGCGAGGGATGGCTTGGGGAAAAGAAGCGCTATTGTTGCATTTATGCAAAACCTTTCACCAGTATCAAGTTGTTCTGGAGAAGAAGGTAACAGCTAACGTTCATAACAGGGCAGCCTGAAAAACACTAGCTTGGTGTGGAGGGTGGTCAACAGGTTACCAGCATCGAAGACCACTGGTTGAAAAACAGCTCACGTTTGTGGTGACTTAATCTGTCACATTTGGTGGCTGTTCGGTGGCCTATGTGAAATGAGTTTGATCTCAATTTTAGTTCTTGTTGGTGTCCCTGTGGCAAACTTACCACCACATATGGCATTAGCTGAAGGTTCTAGAAGGGAAGCTAAGGACTAGATGGAGAAGCAGTAGCTTTTTCGTCTCGTTCTCTTCCCCCCATCGCCTCCCCACCTGAAGGGAGTCCCCACCGGCTCAGGGAGAGGAGGCATGTTAAGGGTTGTTGGCAAAAGGCTGTCTGTTTGGGAGTTAAAGAGAGGACTTTGTTAGCCAAGCCACTGCCTTTCACCATCTCTAAATCGATTTAAAACAAATAGCTTCTCCCTCAAATAAACCCCATCTTACTCTAGCGCTAGTTCAGATTTAATCTCTCCAGAGAGAGGGTGAAAAGCCCTTATGTGGAGGAAAAAAGGGACAGACGGACATGGGACTTGTAGTAAGGGAAAAGGCTTGCTCTGTGATTGTTAGAGAAGGTCTGAGGGCTTATTAACCCATTTGTTTTTTGCTGAAGCGATGTATCAGCTTGATCTACTTACGGGAGTTATGAGGTTCAAGGGTTTGATTCTAATCTGGAAACATCTTTATCTGCTTCCCCCACAGAGACCCTTCAGCGTTCCTGTAAGTACGTCTCGCCCTGGGCTTGGAGGGCACCTCCTCATTTGAGGTGAGAGGGCAATGGGGTCCCTATGCTTGGTAAACTGCTCATTTTAGGATTGATATGGGGAATTTAGGGACCTGATTTGCTGGCAGCTGTGGTCACCCCAGCATCTTCCAGGTTGTATCCAGATTGGCTTAAATCTCACATAACTTCAGTGCCCAGCAGTAAAGAAAAGAGCATGTCTCAATAATTAGAAGGACCTAAATAGAAATATATATGCTGCTGAGCTAGTTTGTTCATTCTTCAGGATCCAAATTCTTTTAAAGTGACTGAAGGTATTTAGCAGGAATCCAAAGCTCGGCCTGAGATACAATTCTGAACCTTCAGCAACGGCCCCTCATTGAATTATATGAAGCACCCCTTAGCTTGCTCTTCACTTCTATCCCAAGGTATGATCATTAAATTCCAGTGAAGGGGCTCCTGTAGGTAAGAACGTTCGAAAGGGAACATTGTCAGGGTAGGTCCATTCTCAGTCCTTAATGAACCGTGACAGCAGCCTGGGGGGTAAAATAGATGTTAGAGGTGCTCTTGAGTCGTGGTAATTGGCATAGAACAAGGCATGGGTAAGCCATGGAAAAACTGAGAATGAAGGAATATAGATTCATAGCTGGGAGGTTTGGAATAGCAATTTCTGTCCCACGACAAGCAAGAGCTGTTTGCCACCGATAGACAGGTGATGAAAACGGAAGTAAAGTGCATCCAGGAGAGTTTGGTGTCCAGTTAGTTTTCCCCAGGGAAAACATTGTATAATGGTGACACGTGAAATTGATCCTGTCGCTGTGCTCCAACAAATTGTCCATTACCGGGTGCCCCATAGCAAAAGAATTATTTCTTCTCTCTTGACCATTTGTTCAGCGTTGCTCCTGAGGAAAATGGGGCTCTTACCTCTTGCATCTGGCCTGTAATTAGGCCCTGCATCAGATTGGATCATTGTCAGAAATCTATCCTTGCTGAGAGCAAATTCAGTCAGACCTAGAGAGCGTTGCACTGCAGCCTGGGCAGGCTTTATTTGGTAGATATTGTAACAATGCAGGCTACAGTGACACCCCTTTGTAGTCAGGTGTGTGTGAACCCTGCCATTATGTCCCCCCCCCCCCATCATCTGGAGTACAAGTCCAGGCAGGCTTTAGGAGGGTCCACTTTTCAGAGGGGCTCATTTATTTAGCAGAAAAGACCAGCAAAACATATGAGCAAAACCTTTGTCCCAGAGTTCTAGCTGGAGTCCCAGTCCATCTGTCTCGCACCCGAGTCCCCTGCTTGCCTCCGTCCTGGTTCTTCATCCAGGATTCTTTCGGTTCAGGTCTCTGCCCCTGGGATCAGGTCTCTTGCCGCTGCCTGAGAGGATCCTCTTCTGGAAGCAGGTGTCTGTGGAGATCCATCCGCTGCAGTGCGTGGTTCCTGTCACGTTGGGGTTTCCTGCCACTGTCTGGGAGACCCCTTGGCAGAGATCAGGTCCTCTTGGATGCTTGCCAACTGCAGCTGTCTCTCTGCGAATCTCCCATCTCCAGGAGTGACCTTCCAGACTCCTGCTCCAGTGGGCTCCCTGGAGAGCTCTGTGTCCCCAGGCACGCACCATCTAGGCCCTCTGCTCTAGGAGCCCTCCTGATCAGGCCTTCTGGGAGCTCCTCTCCTCAGGAGCTGCCTGTGTCCATGGGAGTGCCTCTCCCCACTGAACTGGGTAGGAAACACTTTTTCAAATGAAAGCTGTCTTTGTTTTGGGTAATGGAATAATTATAGCAATTAACAGATACTTGCCACCATAAGACATGGTGAATTTGGCCCTAGAAATCTATAATTCACCAAAGAGCAACACGGCTTCAAAATGTGACCAGAAATGGACCAAAGCTGTGGTTCTCCAGGCTAGATGCTTTCCCTCCAGCATCATCTGTATCCAAATGACCCTGCTGAACAGCTGTGTTTCCCTGGGCAAAGATCCATTAGAACTGCAGAGGAATTAACAGTGGCAGAGCTGGGAACGCAAAATTCGATCATGCCGGTTACCATCACCTCCTCCTTGCAACTAACTGTTCTGGCTGGCTCATTAATGGTTCATTAGTAAATGAGCACTTGGACTCAATAAAGGTAACCCCGACTTCCCATAAAGGGATCAGTTGCCCAGTGACACACACACACAAAGTGTGTGTGCAGTACTGGTAGATACAAAAAACATTAAGGTTGCAAAGTCCATGCATTGGAGAGCGGAATCACCATCTCTTAAGTGTCTAATCCCAATTATAGCTGGAGATTGCATTGGCCTCGAAATCACTGACCATTATTTCTATTCACAGCCAAGAAAAATGTGTCATGGACCGTGAAATCTAGCTGTTGGAGGGGGAGGGTAGGGCAGGGGCTTCTAGCCATGCCCCTGGCTCTTGCTGCTACTCCCCTCTGGGCTGAGGAGGGACGGGACTTGCTCTTCCCCTGCACGGCCTCGCTCGGGGTGGAGGGGTGGGGGAGATGAGACCCACCTCTGGGTACCTACCCCAGCTGCTCTGAAGGCAGCACAGAAGTGAGGATGGCAATCCCACAAACCCCCTACAACAGCTTTGTGATACCCCCCTCTGCCCCTCCCCCAACTCCCTTTTGGGTCGGGACCCCCACGGTTACAACACCGTGAAATTTCAAATGTAAACATCTGAAAACCTTAAATTGATTAATTTTCAAATCCTGTGCCCATGAACTTGACCAGAATGGACCGTGAATTTGGTTGGACCCTAACTGTTTCTCCAGTAATGTCGATTCTGCCCGTATTTCCTGAGGCATCTGATAGTGTGTGACATACCCACTAAGTATACTGCAATGTCCTGGTGTTTCTCTGTGCATTTTTGGTCACCATGATTTCATCAGTGAGCTGGAGGAAAAAGCCTTGAAAAAAAGCAAAAACCCTGCAGCTGAATGGTTTTATTTCTTGTTTTAAATCTGACTCTTGTGAAATACAGAATGATCAATCACTCACAACTAACAAAATTGTTTTTGTTTTCCTTTACAAAAGCATATGGGAGCTACAGGCAAAGCATATGGGCATTTTTAGGAAAACATATTGGTGAATGGACAAATTTAAGTGGTGCCAATATGCTTTAGATGTCTGGCTAGACCAGTACTCTACTTGTTGGCACGCTAATCCTTCTACGAGATTTCCGGAGGTAGCATATGATGAGTGGTGTGTAACTGTTCTTGCGGGAACACAGCCGATTGCATTGAACCCACGTTTAAATAACATTCTGATCCCTATTCCTCATATATTGCAGCCACACCACTTCTGACTGTAAGCTGCAGGCCAAATGTAAGGGTCATGTTTGTGGCTACAAATCCCCTTGATTCAGTGGATTGCACCGAGAGCTCAGTTTGCAGCTCGGGGATGTGCGGTAGCTATCTATCTAGGTTTTTATACTGAGATGGAGGTTCATGATGCCAGGTGCTGTCCACACAGTAAGAGACAACAGCTGTCCTGAAGGGTACACCATTTAAATAGACATGACAGAGACAGGCAAGGAGAGAGCAAGTTTATTACTCTTAATTTTGCAGGTGGGGAACTGAGGCCTAGTGAGAATATGTCTGTGGCAGAGGTGGGAATTGCACTCAGATCTTCTGAGAACCAGTCCAGTGCCTTAGCCTCATCTGTTCTGCCCCTCCCTCCCCCCAATTTCTGGGTGATCTGTTGTAAATTTATTGTACGTTATTTACTTTAGCTACTGTGTGTCCTTGAGACAGTTCCCTGCTTTAGTATGCCAGCAGTATCGTTCACATCTATCTGTGCTGCAATTCTCAGCATCACTGGGAATCCAGGCAAAAGCAATCGGATCTTCACAGAAACCTCCTCTGAGCTCTGTGGTAACAGCTTCAAATGTAAAGGAAAAAAAAAGTGATTCCTAAATGTTAGAGCTTGAAAAATATGCTCTGCTCCTTGTCACAATATTTAATACAACGTGCTATTTACAGTAATGAATCAAAATGTCAGTTTTAAAAATATGAAGCATCAGAGTGTTCCTACTTTGCAGAAAAGTTTGATATGACAGTATAATCATATGACTGTTACATCAAATGTGGCTTGCAGCACTTTTGCTCATCTAGGGTTCCCCCCTCCACCCCTTTCCACTGCTAATCCCTGGTACAGTTATCTGACTGAATACACTCTGATTCGATGCTTGAAACATCCAGGGGCTAAGTTCATTTGTTATTGCAATGCATTCACAAACTGGATGCAGGTAAACAGCTAATTGATGGTTGTGCATATGCTGAGCACATTCAGAGAGTTTTATTTTAAAACATCCCATAAACTATGGGCTCGGTTCTCCATTGCCCTGCTGCATCTTGTCATTTACACTAGTAGGAAGTGAGTGCAAAAGCTAACTCAGAATGGTTGTAATTGGCACCTACTTTGCACTGGTGTGGAAGGGGGAAAGGCTATCTTTTTAGCTGATAGATGAGGTGAAGAAAACGAGAGAAGGCTGTTCTAGGGGGTAGGAATCAGAGAGGAGAAAGCTCTGGCTACTTCTTCAATGGTGGGATTGCATGAAGAGCTAGAGAGGAGGCCAGTGCGGGATGAATGGCAGCCCCAGAGAGATGGCACTCAAGGCTTTGGGAAGCACTGTAGAGCCGTTTGGGGCTGTAGATGAAAATGAATGAGGTGGCACTGGAGCTGGGTGAGGAGAAGGAGAGGTGTGGTTGCATTCCCTGTGGGTGGGGTGGGGCATTCTGTAGGCTTGGGAGCTGGGACGTGGGGGTGACATACTGAAGATAACGGCATTGTTCAGCAGAGTAGACGTGAAGGCCTGGAGAATTTCAGCAGCAAAGGTGGAGTCATGGTGGCAGCATACCTGGCTCTGTTGCAGAGACGTATAGAAAGGCATGGATAAACAGCTGACGGCATTGGCCGACAGGCTGCAGACAGCCAGTTCTTGGGGCGAATTTGCTCATGGCAAATTCTGGATCCTATATTATCATTTTTAAAAATAAGATTTCTGTCAACTTCATTAAGTCTGTTGCGTTGCTTGCTGTGCTGCTCA